GCACTTGAAAAATTCAAAACCCCTCTGATTATTCATAATTCTGAAAAAAAACTACCCTGTGTTTATAATATTAATATACTGGGTTTCGAATATGTATAAGCAAAATGTGTGAAAAAAATACTGTTCGTAGACTTATGCACATTGCTTACGTGTATATCTACGACTTCAATCATCTAGTGTTCAATAGGCAGAACACGACCGATTGATACAGTTACGCTTTCGAGCAAACGGAGGCAGGATTAGCGCCCATGTCATATAATGGCAATCGGTTTTGGAAATGACAGGTTTTAGTTCTGAAAGCAGAAGACGGAACTGCCATCCGGAACCGACAAGAGATTCTAGAGAGACAGGGAGATTTGTAAGAAAACTGCAAAAAACGATTGAAGCACTTCCAAATAACTTGCCAGAAGAAGTGTCACATACAAATAAACAGTGAAACCGAAAAAGGAGAAAAGGACTAATGGCAAAATCGGTGTTACAGTGAAACTTGTGGAACTGGGAGGTAAAGTACTGAACAAGATATCAGTGCGCTTGCTTTCACGTTGTCTGAAAAAAGCAAAATATTCCAAACGGTTCAATAATTCAACCGCATCGGTGACTCCATTTCACAAAATGGGAGACAGAAAAGATCTGAAGAACTAACTACATGGCGATCCGTGTTAGTCGTCAGTCGCCTGCAAAGTCTTCACGAAGGTGCTAATGAACAGTGTGCAAAAATAACTAGACGTTGCAACGAGAAATTCAAACAAGCAGAGAATATTTGCTGACTCTATAGCTAAGGTTTATTGGTTTTCAGAAAGCTTTGGATTCGGTGTACTCGATTCCTTGAGAAGCCAAGAAATCGAGAAAGTTCAAACAAGCACTAGCATTGTTTTGTAACATATCTGGATGTGATGAAAGACAGCAAAGTAGGCAACGCCCAGAAATTAAAATAAGGTTGAATCAATGAATATTTTATGGTATGCATCAAGTATATCACTAATAATAGTAATAGTAATAACATTAGCGTTTGTATTGTTTACTTCTTACATTTTTTTATTCATCCTTGAAAATTAGACGGCTGAAACAGGACACAATGTCTAATTATTTGGTAAGGAGGGTCTGCTTTTCGGCATTTTATATTTATATGCTTAACAGGTCAATTAACAGGTCAATATTAATTTATTTTTGTTAATTTCGAATTATCCAAGCATGGCAAATACTGTAGCCATGTAGAAGAACCAACAGCTCAGTTTTCTGTTGTGAAACACTCCGTCACAAATGTTTTTTTAAGAGATTGTCAATGATGTTGCACCTTTTAACTTCAGTTTAATCTGGAAAAGGCAACAGTACTTCATCCCATCCCTTGAATGTTAATAAATTAACTATGTAAGATCTTTACGACCGTTCCTAATGTCAATAAACTGGCAATTCAATAGTTTTAGAGACAGAGAAACAAACAGATATTAGTTTGCACTATAAGTGCCGAAGATTCAGTTTGAAACTATATTGGCCACCTTGAGGGTAAACAATGCTTCATTTTTGGCAACACGACCGTTTACCTTTAGGAAGGCGAATGCACCTTGGCTGAAACTTCGGTAATTATAATACAAACCAGTATCTGACTGTTTCGTTGTGTCAACAATTAGTGAACTGGGAATTTATTTAAGGAAACACAAAACTTAAAGATTCACAACTCATTCCTAATGCCGTTTACATATTCGACTATTGTCACTACGAGCGTTTGCATCAGCAGAGGATTTCTGGTTTGTAGCGCCCATTGAATTTTCAGTATTTAACATGGTTTCAATAAAGCGCCGGTTATTACAGTGCAGAACAAGGAATTCCATTCTGAACGCAAATCTACTTCCATCTGCGTGCTGTTCGAATGCCATCGCTGCTCAGCACCATTTCTCAACATAAAGCAAAGATGCAAAACTGCATCATCTTGTTCAGTCGAACCAAAATTTGTTGTATTGTGCCTTCCTGTCAAACGTCTGTCTTGTTCTGTCTGACTGCCACTTATTTATCAACCTATTGATACCATCTACCTACTCAATCCTAGTACTTTGCTACTTATTTGCTAACACATTCGACTAATTTAAAAGACAAGTGATTCAACCACTCCTCGTTGAGTCATGCCACCCAAATAACGCTTCGCCAGATGCCTGATTTAGTGTGAGACCTCGAAACGAAAGAAGAGGGGACAAAAAACAATCACTTACAAATGCACTTGGGAATCGTCCAATGACACCTTCGGGTGGAAGATGGAATGAGACGGCGTTTGATAATGACTGTTGGACGCAGAGAAGGACGTGAAGCTCAGTTCCTGTAAGCTTCCAGCAACATCTTCAACGTCCTGACACTGTGGAACTTCAGAACGTGAACAATCGTCAGGAGAACGGCGGTCGGAATTTCTTGGGTCATATGTTCTTGTGCCGGAGGCACCAGTTCTCGTCGGGATTCGAATCGGTTCAGAGCGCACGTCTGACAACATCATCCTCTGACATCCGCTGTCCATCGCATCCTAAAGTTTCGTGAGTGAACGAAAACCAAGGTTGCACGGTACGATGGAACTTATTTACCTTCGATTCGTCTAGCGTAACGTCAGCATCAGGCGAGAGGCTGGCGAAGATGCCGTGGACGGGTGAAAATTGGAAGTCGGCGCTGGTAAGCGAGAAGTTGGAAGAAAACGACGCTTTGCGTTCAAACCTGTCTTTCGTCACTGTAGTTTCGGTCACAGACGGGGTGAATCCGGGGACAGACGTTGATGAAAACACTTTCGAGCAATCTGGAATCTCGGCACCTGACGGAACCGCCGCTGAATGCACGTACGATGCCAACTCGGGCACCGCCTCACTAATGATGTTCAAGTCACCGGTCTCGATCAGCGGCAAGTCTTGGTCGAAAGTCTCTGGCTTGTGAGCGAAAAAATTCGGCGGCATGTCTCCCATACCCGAAAAAGCGAAAAGTGAATCAAACGGAAAAGAAAAAGGCATGGGTCAACGACAAACAATCAGATCAAACGCGACGTGACATCATTTAATACCTGGAAATAACGACTTTAAGAAATGACGCTGCAGCCTACGGCCAAACCATTTCCGGCGTTGCAACTCTTCCTCGCGAACCTGCGTCGCAGCCTGCATCAGACGCGTCGCCCAACTGGTGTACTCTTGGCTGAAGTTACGGCGACGTACCACCTCGCCGGCTGCCATCATGTATAACGCTGAAGCCTCGTGTAGTTGTTTCAGTAGCTCGAACTGACGACGAAGTTTATACACTCGTTCGCTAAAATTTACTTGGAATTACCG